TAGTTGGTACAACCATTAGTAATCACCCTGTAACACACACACACACACACACACAATTTAAAAAAAAAATTACTCACTGTCGTGCCACAATTGTTTGCAGTTGGTCGACTACCTCATTACCGATTTCTTAGAGGAACAATATAAAGGGCAACGCGACCTCGCAGGCAAAATCTCAGTGTTGGGTAAAATGATGCAAGCGCATGGACCTTTGGGAGAATTTTTATTCGATAAGAAATTATTGAGTGGTGAAGTCTAAGTGTTTTGATGACATCAAAATGCTGAAATTCAGCTTGAGCTATTCTTTTTTATAAATATATAAAATTTATAAAATTATAATGGCCACATTTAAAATACATTATATAATTCAGATTATTACATTATATGCAACCTTGCTTATATTTTATTGTAGAATACAAGATGTATAAATAAGTTTTTGTTTCGAGCATATTTCTAAATGTGGCCTGTAATATTATAGAAGTATGTAAAGTATGTTTACAATGTTTGTTAATCCATAATAATTATATTATCCTTGGTAAATAAATAAACATTATTTTGAGACGCCGCATTACCTGATAATTTGTTTTGCTTACACAAATGATTGAAATTAATCTATAAATTATAGTTATGACAATAAGGTACATGATACATGATATAGCTCATAAAAGAAATTTTCTTGTCTTTTATTTTTTAAATTGTTGCTATAATTACATACAAGATGCATTATATGATATGAATAATTTGTCAAAGTGTCAAATATTTTCATGATAAACATTGTAATTGAATTTTATAATTACTTGCACATACTTATACAAATAAAAATACAAAACGTTCTAAATCTTTCATAAAGTACCATAACATACAGTATAATTATCCAATTATAACTTTTTGAGAGAGAGAATTGATTAGTAAATTTATATACAAATGTTCTTGTAAAATTGTGTAATAAAAAATATTTCGAGGTATTCATATTCTCTTGTCTTCGTCACAAATTATTATAGATGTTCATTGTTAATAAAATTATTTGAGAGAGAGTACAATTTGTTTGGATAATGTAAGATTTATATACATTTTTTCAAAATTGGATGTGAACAACTGTTTTTCATAGTTTATGTAATCTGTTGCACATAAACTTAATTCTAAATCCTTTGTGTTTTGATTAAACAGGAAATTTATAACGCCTCTTGGTATCTTAGATGTTGAAAATATATCGCAATAAGGTGCCAAACTACAGGAATGTTTATCAGCTATTACAATAACAGAATTGCCGGAAATTAAAATTTGTATCAATCGAAGAAGCAAAATTTCTTCAGATTTTTCCTTAAGAATGATAACGCCTCTTGGAATACGACTTTGGATTACTTCTAATCTATCATTTTGAGAACAAAGTAACCATACTCGAGTGAAGTTGGAAAACACAGTATTCGCGGTCAATTTTGACGAGTATTTTGAAAATTTACTAAAGAGAAAGAAATAAAAACAAATAACAAACAAGTTATTGAAAGTTAGCCAAAGAATAAAGAAGCATAGAACAATATAAAATAAGAAGATATAAATAGGTAGAAAGAGAGAGAGAGAGAGAGAGAGACATACAGATATCATGTAAAACTTTAATAATCTAACCTATTATAATTTAGAATTGTTATCATTTGAGATAACAAGTCTATTCTATTTGTAATTGACCAAGTTTTCCAAATCTTGAATCCTTCTACAGCGGAATTAAAACACATCTTAATATCATCTCTGTAATAAATAATAATCGATTACGTTTAATATATAAACTTTATATGTCACTTCTTGAAGCTAAAAAAAGAATATTAAAATTTAACAATTAATACATGTGCATTCATACTTTGTCGCATTTGCCCATAACATGTTATTATATTTCCAATACGTATTTTTTACGGGTTTCTGCCATTTGCCGTCATAAAACAAATTACAAATTGGCATAGATTCCTTGTTGGGAACATGTGAGAAGTTTACTTCGTTTACATTTGGTATTCGTATCGAATCATCATTGAAGGTAGGCTTAAATCCTTTATGTATTTTGCCAAATACTTTTACATATGGTAAAAGTATGTCACCACCATAGAGATCCATATGCACATTTACAAATATAACGTCTCTCTGAATTAACAATGGAAATTATATTTTAACATTTATGAGACGAAATCTCCGTAATACTGCTTTAAATAACTAATTAATGTACATACATTTAAAACTGTTGCTAAATATCTTGCATATACAATATCTTCTGACCATATAGATATTATATTCATGTTATATGACGTGCGGGGTGTAAATTCTTTCGTCGATTTAAATATACGAATGGTCGATTTAAATATATGAAAGTCTTTACGATGAAAATATTTCTTTATAAGTGACAAAAATTTCTGCTTAATTGTTACATCGATCCAAATTTTATTTATACGAGAACTTCCTATTCTCATTAAACAGTTAATAACTGTGTACAAATCTGAATCCTTTAGAAGTATCATTTCGTTGGTTTGATCTACGCGAAATTTAGAAACCTTCATTAAAAATTAAAACGTATTTTTATTACATTACAAATATGTTATTCTTACTTAAAAGCTCATTTTTTAAAGAATTGTATTGGATTTGATTTAGTATTGAATTTTTGCTGAAAAAAATAATGTATCTATAAAATTGCTGTGTCACCGACGAGATACTACTAAAGACGGTCGATTCTTATGGAAATTCGCGTGACTGTTAAAAGTTTAAGTGATTGTAAGTAATAAGAAACTGATAATACATATATGGTACTAATTTCATGATTTATTAGTTTCATAGATATGTATATATGTTTAAAACTTAATAATATTCGATTTTTATTTAAAACTGTAATTTTAATGTTATCATTAGAGTGATTATCAATAGAGATAACTGCAGAGAAAAAAATTGTAATTTTTCAATAATGTATAAGATATTACAGCATCACAAAAGTATGCATACTTATTTATACAGCATTTGTATAATGAAAAATCACGAATTTAATAATTATCAAAATATTTGTTAATGTAATCGCAAATTTTTATTAATTGTCGATGTCGTCGTTGATTCTTTAATTATCCCTGGGACCCCGGGGCCTTATTAATAGTCGTGAAAATTTGCCCAGGACTGACCGTCTTTAATAATATATATTTTGTCGCGGTGTATGTATACAAGTATGTGTACAAATATATGTGTTATATATTATAATTTTAATATAATAAATATAAATTAACATGTTAAACAAATATGAAAAAACACAGTTACATGATAGCATTTTCCAGAAATAATTGCACTTTGTGTTCTGTACATATAGTGAAGATTGTGAGCACTACCGACAAGATTATTTCTTCTTTGTTGTATTCTTCATCTAAATTGTCTAGGAAATAAAATAAAAATTCAAGACGAAAGAATTTCCCATCAAATTACCTAATGTGCTTATTTTTATGCAATATACTACATATGCAATTCATACTTGTAAGCAAAATAAATATAAAAGTATAATTAGAAAATATATATACGTTGATATATTTTTACAAACGCATGCTTGCAAAAATGTACGTACCAAACTCAATACCAAACATAAATTTCACACCGAAATTTGTCAAGTATTCAAGGATAGTGGTAACTATGTCTACGTGTTTACATGCGGAGTTGAAAAGAAACAAATTTTTTTCTATTATAGATGCTGCTTTAAGAAATCTGTCGATGGATAAATATGAAAATAGAAATGATAAAAGTGGAAATAACCGTTACATTTTTACCATGCTATTTGTATATACCTACAGATTAAATGTTTATTTACCTTGTTGAAAAGTCATCAGTATCATTAAATTTTATTTTTTTAGATAAAGTGAAGATTTCTGTCAATATTTCCTGAAAAAAATACATAAAAATAGTATAATCTATTTTACTGAAAATGTAAATAAAGCTTTTTGTTTGCAACATTAATATATATTGAATCTCATATTTCATAATCTATTACCAGAATGTTTATATATGCATCAATCTCATAAAACACACACGCACGCACACATCATCATGCATACATCCCAATGTCATATTCACCTCTTTGTTGCTTTTATCATACTCCAGATTAATATAATATTCATTTATAAGTTGCTCGTACATAATTATTGATAAAGTAGTAATGTTCTCAAAGGTATCAGGACGAGATATGTATCCAAGCTGATCCAAGCACTCAGCAGTTAAAATTAAAGGTGCATTCACATTTCACATGCAAGCGTCGAGCGTCAAGCAGCGGAACAGCAACCAATCGGTGAGGCGATATTTACAGTGGCGTAAACAATATCGTCTTGCTGATTGGTTGCTGCTCCGCTGCTTGATGCTTGCTGCGTCCAGGGTGAATTACCCCGGATCTATAATCGGGTTTTAAGCCATAAGAAATGGGCGAATCACAGTCGATTATTCCCCTCGGATTCGACTGTAAGTCCGGATCTACAATAGGTGTTTTAAGCCTTAAGCCATAAGAAATGGACGAATCACAGTCGATTATTCTCCTCGAATTCGACTGTAATTGGTCAATTTCTTACGGCTTGAGGCTTAAAACCCTTATTGTAGATCCGGACTTAGACATTAAGCTACGGTCCATCCACTTGCATTCTTTCAATTCGTAAAATTCTTTGTTCTGATTGGTCGCTCAAACGCTTCGAAGCGTTTGTAGCGTCAAGTGGGCCGCAGTCCCTAATCTCAAGCAATATCTTAAGATGCTAATACGGCTCTCTGATTGGTTCATGCACTAGCTTAAGATCATCGCGGCAAGATCTTGAGCAACGTCTAATGCTGAATTCACCCTGCATCCATTCTGATTGGTTGCAGAACGTCGTACGACGAAAATCGGATGCAGGGTGAATCCAGCATATGGATTCCGCCCCTAGAAAGTTTCTAATTGTAAGTGGTTGTAATTGTAAGAATTGACCAATCAAGTCGTATGTGAGGAGAATATTTGACTGTGATTGGTCAATTCTTACAACTACAATCACTTACAGCTTGTATTGTAGAACAAGCATTACGTTTTTGTATGTGCCATGGGCTTTAGTGTGGAGACAGTGGGATTTAAGTTTTGTAAAGACTTAAAATATATAGGCACGGGGTGCGATGAGGTACGGAGATTCGGATAAGTTTTTTTACGCGTACATTTTTTAATTTTGTCAAGATAGCATGTTCTTCAGACAGTATAGTGACGCTAATAGATACGTTGCGCTACGCGAACGATAAGCCAAGTATGATTATCATTTCGCGATAATCGCGACGCACATATGCGGGCTTGCGTGTCAACGACGCGACTTATTTCTCTTTTGCGGAATAACCTAAATCTAAACGGGACATCCGTCCGTTTCTATCGTACATATTGTATGATTCTGCGATTCCTCTTGCTTTTCCAGATCACATACGCACTGCGTCCCATGACACTACTAGCCATGAATTCACATTGACCTCTCTGGTATACTGCCGAATTTGCGCGGGCGGCGACCTTAACCTTTTATCGATTATACTCGGTATCATGGCTTTACGTCGTGGAAAACGTAATCTGAAACTGCAAGTCTCCGACGAAGCTCCTGCGCCAGTGTATGTAAAGCATCAACGTAATGTCTGTCGAGTGCTGTGATTAATGTTGTCATACCTATATGTAATCTTTTACGTTTGTTATGTATTTATGTATAAAAATTACAAAGCAAATATGTATAAGCAAGATTCAAAGATATAGTGTAAATTTTTACCTGTGAGTATTTTCCATCTGGTCATTCTATGTTTGAGTATTTACTTTTTTGTAACACAAGTCGACACAAGCATTATTCACTCTTTGTTGGTACTCAGTGAGTAACTAAGATAGAACTTGTATCACTAGTAGAGGCAGAATCCATAGATGTTGCTCAAGATTCGACATGGTCTTGAGCTAGTGCATGAACCAATCAGAGAGCCATATTAGCCTCTTAAGACATTGCTTGAGATTAAGAACGGACTGTGGATTCTGGCCTAAATAGGAAGCTTTGTTATTCATTGAATCAAGAAAGATAGAACGATGTTTGTCAAAGATAAAACTTGTATCACTAAATAGAAAACATCTATCATATTATCTTGATTATTTGATTACAATAGAAAGATGCTTATACAATGTATATGTATGGTATATGTTTAAAGGTAGAATTTATCTTTAGATACATTTTTTTTAGATAGATGCTTTATTTCAGGACTCCACCAAGAAATTTAGACAAACGGACTACCATTACTATAGATGAAAAAACGTTTGTCGTGGAAGCTGACGATTTAGAAACACTTTGTGTACTTGGTCGTGGAGCATATGGGATTGTTGATAAAATGCGACACAAACAGAGTGGCACAATTATGGCTGTTAAGGTATTATCAAAATGAGCAGTAAATTTTCTTACATTATAATGTAAGAATAAAACATAACTTTAACAAAATTTTATATATATATATATATAAAACTGATATTTTTAGAGGATAGCTGCTACGGTTAATACACAAGAGCAAAAGCGGCTGCTCATGGATTTAGATATTTCTATGCGTAGCTCGGCATGTCCCTATACAGTACAATTCTATGGAGCCTTATTTCGAGAAGGAGATGTATGGATATGTATGGAAGTGATGGATATGAGCCTTGATAAATTTTATACAAAAGTGTATAAACATGGTCGTGCCATTCCTGAAGATATTTTAGGAAAAGTGGCTTTTGCGGTACATATATATGTATCTATTACACACACGCACACACACACACCAACTCTTTAAACCCTCGATAATGTTTTATCAATGTTAAATAATTGCACAGACGTTTTTTTTTCTCTTGTTTCTGATTCGTCTTCTTTCCTTTGATTTGACATGAAATCTAGTTTTAAAAAAAAAAAAAATTGATCTTAAATTCTTTTTAACTTAAGAATTATCTATATTATCAATTTTGCAGGTAGTGAGCGCGCTACATTACCTCTATTCACAATTACGAGTGATTCATAGAGATGTAAAACCTAGTAATATCTTAATTAATCGGAAAGGCGAGGTAAAAATTTGCGACTTTGGTATATCGGGTTATCTTGTGGATTCAGTTGCTAAGACTATCGATGCTGGATGCAAACCATATATGGCTGTATGTAATTGTAGAATTTTGCCATTGAAAATTTCATCAGTTGTCCATTCAATACATTCTCCACCATTATCTTTTTTTTGTAGCCAGAAAGGATAGACCCGTCGGGTAATCCATCACAATATGATATCAGATCCGACGTTTGGTCGTTAGGAATTTCCCTCGTTGAATTAGCAACTGGTAAATTCCCGTACGAGTCGTGGGGTACGCCGTTCGAGCAACTGAAACAAGTAGTCAAGGATGAAGCTCCAAAATTACCTGTGGGCAAGTTCTCTCCTTCATTCGAGGAATTTATTAATAAGTGGTAAGTGGCAATGTGTGCGTTAAGATTTTTACACCTCTGATCTAATTGATTCCTTTACATAATCATTACTGTTTTCAGTCTGATGAAGAACTACACTGCCCGCCCAAATTACAGTCAATTGCTAGAACTCGACTTTATCAGAGAATATGCCCAAAAAGATACAAATGTGGCCGAATTCGTTGGAGAGATTTTAGACTTACCGGAAAACGAGCAACCGGTATAGTGCATACGTCATTTTGACGTAACTTGCAATATAATTTGACTTGTATAACTTGTATTTTTGCAAGACAGTCATGTGATTGGCATTGTCATATGTAATTTATATTCGTGAGTCGCATTTGATCATTGTGTCGCAAGATATAACTGGCATTCGAATAATTTATCCTCTACTGTCTTTTTAATTTTTATCAATCGCGTCTGGTACATATTGTTGTAGCATTTATTAGGTGGCCTGAAAATAATTGTGCTTACTTCAATCCTAATCTTGTGAAGGCAGACATTGGAAATAATACGCACATGTTTTTCTACATGATAAAGCGATACATGTTAACATTGTGGTAATAATAAAAAGTAAGTAAAGTCTTAATAGAAATGTGTCTTGTCGAGATACATGCTCATCTTTAAAAACATAGGTTAGAAGATCAATTTATTGTAACACTAGATTGTACATAACAATTAATTTGATTTGTTTAGAAAACAGCTCCATTTATTAGCGATCAATTGTAAAGATTACATATACCAGTAATAAAAATTGAATTTTGTGACACAATGGATGTACGCGTGCGCGCGCGCGCGCGCGCGGTCACGCACCACACTCACATTCACTCACACTCACTCACACTACACACTCACTTATTAGAATTAATATCATATATAGTAGGAGTCTCTTGTAAAAATCCTTGATGTTTCCCTTTTCTATGTATGATCTAGCGTCGTATGTAATGAAAAATTATATAATCTGGAATAAATGATTATTTAAATTGTATGAGATTAATTAAATCGTGAAAGTTAATCTTTGTGCGTCAAAAATTAAAAATTAAAAATTCAGTTTTTTGACAAGATGAATTAAAAAATGATTGTCTTCTAAAGTGCTTTAGTTCGATAAACTTGTCAAATTTTACCAAAATACAAGTGTACAAACCAGATATATAAAAGTTAAAAAGAGACTATACAATGTTTTATGTATTTCAAATGATTTGGTAATATCATGCGAATATTCTTCCATTTATACTAATCCACATTTCTTTTTTTTCCTACAACTATACATATTGGCCCGTATTCAGAACGCGCTTTTATCTCTGAAATTTTATAATATGCGTGACGTAAAGTATAACATGTTAGCACGGCTAACATCGTGTAAGCTTCTTCTTCTTATTAATTAGTGGCTCCCGCCTCCAGACATATAGAAGGAGGTCGATACGGCCAGATCACGTCAAAATGTTAGTAGTCGTACAATGAGTTCAGACGCATTGGTGGCAACATCGTGTAAGCGTTTGGCCCGATTCATCGACATTGCAGCAGCGAGCAGCGGCGCCGGCGAGTGCCTTTTTATACAGAAGTCACAGAAGAAGGAGAAGATCGTGTAATGCCCGTGTCACACTACGCATTAGGCCGGAATCAGACTATGCATTGAAGATTAAGATTGAAGATTGAAAAATTCAAATTTGCCAATGCGTAGCGTGACACGGGCATAAGGCCGGAATCAGACTAGGCACTGATTCCGGCCTAAGCGCGTTCTGAATACGGACCATTAGGTTTGTTCTTTTTCGAAGAATTCGGAACTATTGCAATGGCTGCGTTCAGCAGAACGTTTGTTTTGCAACTGTTGGAAGTTTCCTTCGCGCTAATTGGATCATACTTTTAGATCTAGAAGAATGGTCCTATCTCAGCAGACAATCATAAAACGGTTGCAAAACTGTTGAGTCTGCTGAACGCAGCCAATAAGTTAGGGAGCGTTTATATTGGCCGTAACCATGACTACGTTTACACGGCTCGATTTACGCCGAAGTTATAACATCGATGTTATGGAATTAACTAATCATAGCTATTCTTCTGAAGAATGGAATGACTGTGATTGGCCAATTTCGTGACATCGATGTTATAACTTCGGCGTAAATCGAACCTTGTAAATGTAGTCCATGGTGTGATAAAGAAGAGGTGTGCTGTTGCGCAAGAAGATGATTAACCAATGAGGATGGTGGAACAAGTGACCGGCCATATTAATATATCAGCCAATCAGCGTTTTTTCTGAGATGCTCACAATGTGGTATAATTTAAATAAGGAAATGACAATTGATGACTTTATTTTGTTAAGCACTACTATTGTGACTTTTTATTATCAATTATTATTAATAATAATTTAATAATAATTATTATAAATCCCT